TTCACTGTATTTGATAATATGATTCACCTTCTGGTAATCATAGAATGACAATTTAAATGTCCTAAAGAACTGCTCTTTCTTATTTGAAAGTTGTGCACATTATCTGTATTTTGCCCGTGATTTTACCAGCATCACTTCACATTTTCATCTGATTTGAAATGTGTGAGTTCACTGGGTGAGAGGCACATGTGCACTCTATGAGAAGGTATTCCATCACAGACCAAATATACAGGTAATCTTTCATGGTCACTTTACAGAGCTCCCAGTTTGCCTGCTACATCTCTGCACTGACTGACCTGAAGAACACCAATGCAGACACAGGAAATTTTCCAAAACCTACACTAAAACTCTGGATGTTGGTGTAGTGGTTCGAAATGATCTCTGAAGGTGTTCTTAATCTCTCTCAACAACTGCAATGACACAATATCTAATGTGAGTAAACTGAGTTTTCCTAAATCATAAGTTACCTTATTGTCAAATTTTAGCTGTTGCAAAATCTTCACCATTTAAACTGTGAAATAAATAAATCAGATCAACAATGATTTGGATCATCCAAGCTAATATAATCAACATTCAAAATCATATTAGTCACAAATAAATCTTGATTATTTATTATAGCCTTACTCAGGGCAGATACACATGGAGACACAACCAGGTTCTCAGGTGTCTAGCTGAGAAATTTGAGTGCAAAAGAAAATCCATTAACGCTCACCTTTCATGAATCAAGAGGAGCGTCAGTTTTCATCAACATTTGCCCGGGAAGGAGCCAAGCCGAGGACAAGCCCCTCAACCCCAGGCCTGGGCCCGCTGAAGGTTGCCAGGGATTGGCAGATGCAAGTGGACTTGGATCAGAGGCTAATTTTTCCCACAGAGATCGTAACAACAACTCTGCGACCAGACCTCGTCCTCTGGTCTAACTCCTGAAATCTTGCGTACGTCATTGAGCTGACGGTACCATGTGAGGAAGCAATTGAGGAAGCATTTGAGTGTAAGAAGCTGCGGTATGCCAACTTGGCAGCTGAGGCAGAGGATAGAGGCTGGAAGATCAAGGTGCACCCGGTGGAAGTGGGGTGCAGGGGCTTTGTTGCCAGTACAACACCAAAAATGCTTATGCTGGGCTTACACTGTGCGATTTTTGGCCCATTTCGAGCCGATTGTTGAGTCGTGCGACCGTTTTGGTGATCGGCCCAAGTTTGGTCTTCGTCGTGCATCGTGTAGTATATGTGGGGTAACGAGAAGCAATTAACACCTTACGACCAGCTCCCGATCATTAATCGCTTGGTCTCTGTTTGAAATCCTCCCGACCGTCGTGAGGGTGTCACTGCAGCCGCTCACACTGCGCACGCACAAACACATAAATGTCGGCGAAAAAGACGGAGTAGCACAGCAGTGCAGCATGTGATCTGGGCACAAGCGATGGAGGCACAACTTGTAGAACTTTGGAAAGCTCATCTGAGCCTTTTCGATGTGGCCTCACAAAATTATCACAACAACTGTGAAAATAGTTGGATCTACATTGCTGCTCAATCACAACTGCCTGATCAATGTTTTTCATTAGCAATTTAGCAAAGTTGATGGTGGTGGTGTCTCTGTGTGAGTGAAAGACAGTGAGGGAGAGAAAGGGAGAGTGAGCGACAGATTTTCTGTTATAACCTTCATTTTAAGGACGCACAGGGTGAGCACTCAGGTCGCATCAGAGCATCGGGCCGTATAGTGTGAGACCCTGCATCGTGACCTACGAACTTCTAACCCCTGCGAGTCAATCGTGCAGTTTGAGCAGAATAGCTGAATAACGCGACTGAAAAAATCGAACAGTGTATGTCCAGCTTTAGAGAGATTGGGATCAGAGGACAGGCGCAATGGCAGGCCATAAGAGAACTAGCTAACACTGCTGAGAGGACCAGTTACTGGCTATGGTTAAAAAGGGCTGACATCACTCGGGCAGCTAAGGCAGTCAGCTAACCGCGAGACAAAAGAAATATTCCGCTCTTCTCCCCTCTGCTCTTCTTCCCTTTTCTGGGAGGCAGTGGGGAGGTAGAGTGTACAGCCCGATCCGGCGGGGAGGTGTGGGAAGCCATATCGGGCGCCCCCCTTCTGGCTCTCCTCTCTGCTCTCTCCTATCTTGTCCCTTTTGTCTTACTTTTCTCTATCACCTTTTCTATCCCTTTAAAGAAGCTAGGCTCCATAAATGCTAACGTGGTAAGTATTATTTCTCAGTTGCAGTGAATAGATAGAAAATAAACTGTAGGAAACTAAACAGAAAAAAGAAGAAGAGAAATAACAATTTAACATAAACTAGTGACACACTCCAGGGCCTGATCAGCCCTGGCAGGGCCTCCTTGATGAGGGTGTGTGGTGATAATGGCCGAAACACCCGATGAATCCAAGGTCCACTACTGACGATGTGTCCCAAATTTTAAAATTATAATCTAGATCAGATCTCTAATCCCTAAACCTGACCAAGGAAGGAAAATGGCAGATTAGCCTGGGTAAAAGACCAAAAGTTGAGGCACACAACGATGTGTGCTGCTGCCAAACCGTCATCCCTCAAGAGGCTCTCCATCTAAAGCAATGCATTATCAGGGACTGTAACATCTAGTCCTTTGTACTGAATTAAGTTAACAAGGATCTTGCTGTGGTTGAAGTGTACCTTTTTACAGGGGAATTCCTCGAAATTTAAGTATAATTAAAATAATCAGCAAAGCAGGGAGCAGGGATAGCTCAGTAGGTGGAGTGGTTCCCCCATAATCAGAAGGTCGGGGTTTCAAATTCACCGTACAAGGTACACACTGCTCCCCGGGTGCTGGATTGGTAGCTGCCCACTGATTCACCGAGTGAATGGGTTAAATGCAGAAGACAAAATATCCCAAGTGTGGGACTACAAGGGGTTTGAAACTGAAATTACTTAAAGTTTATAATAATAAAATTCTAATTCTACATTGCCCATAGGTGTTAATGGTTGTCTGTTTCTGTGTGTTAGCCCTGTGACAGACTGATGACCTGTCCAGGGTGAACCCCACCTATCACCCTATGATAGCTGGGATTGGCTCCAGTAAACTGATTAGGGGTGTGGCTGATTTATAATATCAAGATGACAAGAAATGAGAGCTTTGTAGCAAAAAGGAATGCAAAGAAAAAGTTTTATGTGAGTTATCTAGTTTATATAGCACTATACACTATTACACCTGTAGCACCATAATAGCTATAGCATAATAATAGTAATTACTTCTAATTCTAATGTAAACAATGGAGGAAAAATCTGTATTCTGAGTGATTCACTGTTAGAACTTGTAAACATTTTTAAGCTCCTAAACAGCATTGTTTCTGAGGGGGAAAGATGGAGAAACATAGGGGGTGAAGGACAGACTTGCCTATACCATTTATGTTACTGCAGCCTTGATTTTCAATTTGCTCCTAGAAAGCCTGACATGTGGATGGTTGACTGTGAGAAGAAAGTGAAAACAACAATTAACTATGCAATGAAACAATAAGACAGAGTCAGATGTTTAGATGATGACAACCAAGCACACCATTGTTCTTTTTGTGACATTACCAATAAATTTGATGTGTCACATGGCCCTCTTCCTATTGAAAAAACAAAAGTTGTATCCAAGATGGCCGACTTCTAAATGGCCACCATGGTCACCACCCATCTTGAAGAGTCTGCCCCCTAACATATACTAATGTGCCACAAACAGGACTTTAATATCACCAACCAGTCCCATTTTATTACGGTGTATTCATATAAATGGCCCACCCTGTACAAAGCTTAGCAATACTCCAAATCCAAAGACAGGACATTTTAAGCATGTGACTATTATCATCTGGAATGGTTTACCAAGCCATGCAATATTAGTGTTTGTGAATGTTATCAATTTGGGGGAAATAGCTAAAAACTTTCATGCGGTGTATTTATTAAATATGAGTGTGTTTAAAGAGTCAGTCAGTAAATGTAGCAGGAATGCAGCAGCAGGGCCAGTTTTTTTAGTTTCATTCTTCAGTGTCCACATAAAAAAAATCTGAGCCTGACTACAAGGCACATTACGGCGAGACTCTCCTGTTTTAAGAACAAAGAAAATCTCTCTCAGGGTCGCTGGAGCCAATCCCAGCTGTCATAGGGCAAGAGGCGGGGTACAACCCTGGACAGGTTGCCAGTCTGTCGCAGGGCTAACACACAAGACAGACAACCATTCACACTCACACATTCACACCTAGTGGCAATTTAGATTATCCAATTAACCTATCCCCACAAGCTGCATGTCTTTGGACAGTGGGAGGAAGCCAGAGTACCCGGAGGGAACCCACACAGACACGGGGAAACCATGCAAACTCCACACAGAAAGACCCCGGCCTGATGGTGGAATTGAACTCAGGACCTTCTTGCTGTGCAGCAACAGTGCTAACCACCGTGCCACCGTGCTGCCTCTCTCCACCATGTGATTGAAAATAATTTTAACAAACGTCTTCTTTAATTGTAAATGTGTCTGATTTGAAGTTGATGGTTTGTCTCTCTGTTCTTGTAAAACTACACTCTAAGATTCATTACTGGCTTTACTTAAATATTTAGACACTTTCATTTATTTCCTATGATGTTGAATTGATTTGGTGGATAACAGTAATGTTCCAAAAAATGTTCACTTACTCTCAACTTTGGTATTCTTGTAAATATTCCTACATACCTGTAATTTGAAGAGATGAACTTCTAGTGTGTTACATTTGGACTTTTTTCCAAGTCAATTAAACTTGAAAACAAAACAGAATTACAGTCTAAAAATCATCTATACTTACAGTGTTTTCTGCTTCTTTGTGTTTCCTGTGGGTTTTAACATTTTTTTTTTTTTTTTTTTTTATTGATTGGTTGATTTGTGGAAAATAAACCAAGATTTACCGAAATCTTGAGTGGTGTATCCTGCTTCCTGCACATCAGTGATTAAGGGCACAGCTCAGCCAAAAACAACTCAAACTAAACTACCTTCAGTAACAAAACAGTGATTTCAAGATTTTAAATGGACTGATTTTGCAAAACTTCCCCCAAAAATGCCTCTTTGGGTGTTTCCTTATTATAACGTTTAGCCTCCCTCCCTTGCCAGAACTCGGTGTTACAGATGATGGTCTCCGGGGGAAGCTCCATGTGACGGTAATGAAGACAGTTTTGTTTTTCTCATTAACAGCTCTGTAGTTCATGTTAAGGGAGTCAGAGCTGGACCTGTGAATGTGGGCTGAAGGCGACTGATATTTACATCCACTTCAGTGTGTGTTCAGTTTTCACCAATGTGTGAGGAGTCCATTGTTGTTTTTTGTCACTGCCTTTAAGCTTCAATCTAAAGACCTGAGAATTTCTACTCTCTTGAAATTCTTCTGTTTTATTTGAATAGTTCCTTTTTTCTACTCTACAACTTTTCACAGTTTTCATATTTTCTCTGTTTTATAATTGTTCTTGTTTTATTATGCTTCTGTTCTGTTTTCTTACCTTCTTAATTTTTCCTGAATGTTTGTCCCTTTCCTGTTATTATCCTGTGTTACCTGTCTTTTAGTTATTTCATGTTTTACTGAAAACCTTTGTTTTACTGCTTTCTTTTGTGTCTGCTCTGTCTGATTGTCTTCACCTGCGCTTCATTATCCTATTGATTGATTTGCTGCATGTTTGATTACTCCTGCTTATTTTTTAATGTAGCGGGACTGTTCTTTGCTCACTTATTCAATTCTGGATCTATTTTGTGCTGTTTGTCAGTGTAGGTATACCTGTACTTGAAAAGATGCTTAGTTGCTGGGTATTAAGAGAGTTAAGGGAATCTCACGGGCTACTTTTTGTATAATGTTATGTTACAGCTGGATTTGAAAATGAAAATGAAGTTTAAGGTTTGTCCTAAAACACTATTGTAACTTTAGAAGTTATAAAACAATACATGGTGTTACATAACTTTTAAAGCTGTTGATCTATTTCAGATCACCAGCTCAGATCAGAAAAAAATAGACTACGTTGCGTAAAATTTGTAAAAGCACAAAGTTGCACAACCACAGACTGTCACAGTAACTTTCAGTTATTGCAAGAACAGAGTCATCTGATTATGAAACTCTAGAGCTCCCCATCCTACCCTTTCTCAAGGTGGTGTCCTCACTCAGTGTGTGTGTGTGTGTGTGTGTGTGTGTGTGTGTGTGTGTGTGTGTGTGTGTGTGTGTGTG